TAATGATTATAACGGTCAAGGTGCCTTTAAACTTCCTCCTCCTCTTCAACCTTTATCACCTTTGGCCTTGCATGGTTCTCAATCGATGCTTCCTCCTTCTCCAACTTCTGCTATTCAACAACAAAATGCTTCTCCACCACAGTCTTCCCATTCCCGTTATGAACGTATCTTACCAAAACAATTAGGTCCTTTAACTTCTGTTTTCTCTGTACCTGTGGTTCCTCCTTCCACAAACTCTTCTTTGGGCTCATCTTCCGCACGACCAACCATGCAACATCATACATCAGTCATTCATCCACTTGTTCCACATCATAATCATCATCGCTCTTCAATTCCTACCGATAAATCCCTTTCTACAGCTGATCAACGCGAATTAGCTCGTAAAGTTTCTCATTCAGCTATTGAGAGAAGACGTCGCGAACGTATCAATGATAAAATCATGCAATTAAAAGAATTAATACCAAGTTGTGCTGATCAAGATCATTTGCACAAATTAAGCATTTTACAGAGTTCCATTGAATATATTCAATATTTACAAGAACTAGTTATCACCCTTAGGAAACGTGAAAAAGATGTTGACAAATCAGACAATGATGGATCATTAGAAGATGGTCGATTTATTAAAAGATCAAAATTTGATAGATATGAAATTTTACCTCCTTCAAAATCAAGAATATTTGATCCTTTTTCCGATAAAAAGGAGTTTAAACATAAAAGCGATCTTTCTATTTCTTCTTCTTCACCTCCATCATCTTCTGACAACATTTTAGAGTCTGGTATTAAAGACATATCAGACTCGGAAAAACTTGATGAGGACGATAATATTTCAACAATAACGGACATATTTAATAAAACCAAAAAACCTTTGGATCATGAAGAGGCTAATGCTTTATTGATGTTATCAAAGTCAACAACAACCGCTACGAATATTACTGTACAAAGTTCTAAACCTGAAGTAATCATGAAAGATTCTGAAACTCAAACATCACCAATTCTTTCTCCTACACTTGAATGGGAAAAACTTTCTAAAGAATCCAAAGAATCGGAAAGTGTGCAAGAATCCGAAAAAGGTTCACCCAGACGAGGGATGACTGTTCAACAGTTATTATGTTAAATTTCGATATTAAGCCTTTTATAGATAATGAAATGTTTCATTTCTCCTTTAAATATAATTGTCTGTAGTGTATGCGATACAATTTAAAAATTAATTATGTGCAAATAACTCTCTCTCTCTTTTTTTTTTTTTTTTTTTTTAATTAAAATTCTCTGCTATGTTTAATTCAAACTTTTGAATTGTAAAATAAATACATAAAATGAAATAAAATAAAATAAAAAATACAAATAAGATACGAATAAGATACAAATTCAATACAAATTCAATACAAATTCAATGCAAATTTAATAAAATTCAATATAAATTCAATACAGATTCAATGCAAATTCAATACAAATTGGGTTAAATTTTACATATAATAAAAAAAAGATATATCATGCATATCAGCGTATACACATCCTTGTATAGCGTTGTATAACATATACCATCATATACTACCATATAGCATCGCATAACATCATATAGAGTAAGATCAAACAATGGTGGCTCTAATTTCAATAATATCAAAAAACTTGGAGAATAACAACCCAAATTCATTCTCTGTCCTACAACTAACCACCGCTTCTGAAGCTTCGACATGCTTAACTCCTGATCTTTTGGCAATCAAATCTCCTAACCGCTTTAATTGATCTGGTTGTAATAAAAATTGTAAATCTGGTAGATCACTTTGTTCTTTTTCTGATTCTTGATTTCTCGAAGGTAAGTGAATCCATTCATGTGGATCATTAATGTGATCAAGTTCTGACGTTATGTTTTTTTGAGTCACGGAATTAGGTGTTAAATAAAATGTAACATGCCGGTGACCCCGTTTTGCGTGTCGTTTTAAGTAGGGAAGGATTACATCTGATATTAAAGTATCCATCCTTTTGTTTAAAAAAAAATAAAAATAGAATTTATTGAATTCTCAAGAAATATTAGAATATTTTAAATTTT